TATCTCAAACGGAGTGTTTCATGCTGTTCATGAACAACTTAAACAATATCCTGATTGCAGTGTTTCAATACATAAGTCTAAATCTGATACTGATGTTAGCTCCTCATCCATCACTGATTGTAATTCTTCTAACACTGAATTCTTTACTAATTCAATGTCAAATAAAAGGACTCAAATTTCACTTGCGAATCTCTCAAATATAAATGTGTTAAATCTAGAAATGTGCTTACCAAGAAAACTTTGGTTACTAGAATTTGCTACAGATGTGGTGACACGACTCACAAAATCAGTGAATGCAAGTTTGATAAAACATCATTAAGAGCTGATAACATCAAAGTTATAAATGAAAGATGGACTCTTAATCAAATTCTTTAAAACTGTCTTCCTAAAGAGTGCTATAATATATTGTCAAATAACTTTGTGAATGACCCATCTTACAATAGGCCAATGTGTTCTAACTAGTTTCTCCGCACTGCAGGGTCAGGAGCATCTTTGGTACTTAGATAGCGGTTGCTCAAACATATGACAGGATCCAAGTCTCTCTTGGAAGACTATGTAGAGAAAACTGGTCCTGCAGTAACATACGGAGACAATGGAAAGGGGTTACTAAAGGATATGGAAACATCAAGTGCAATGATGTGTGTTCAGAATGTTTCATATGTAAAGGGTCTCAAACACAATCTATCTCAATCAGCCAATTATGTGATGCTGATTATGAAGTTCATTTACAAAGAAGGAAGGAAGAGTTGTTAACGCTGACAAGAACATTGTACTTCTCAGCAAGTAGAAAAGATGATATATATGTTCTTGACATGTTCTCAAGTGACAAGGCGCTGATACAATGTTTCTTTACAAAGTCTCAAAACCAATCTCAGCTGGATTTGGCACAAAAGGTTCTCTCATTTGAACTTTAAGAATCTATCCAAAATATCAATCAAGATCTAGTTAGAGGTCTCCCAAAACTCAGCTTTTCAAAGACAAGATGTGCTCAGCGTGTGAACAAGGAAAACAAACCAAGTCGTCATTCAACCCAAGTCATGTTCTAGCATATCTGTTCTTCTTCATTTACTACACATGGACTTGTTTGGACCTATTCTATTCGTTCCCAAGGAGGAAACAAGTATACTCTAGTGGTTGTGGATGAGTTTACTCGATTTACATGGGTGGTTTTCTTGAAGAAGAAAAGTCATGCTGCATAGGAAATTATCTCGCTGATTCGTCAAAACGAGACACTGACTGGTCTCAAAGTTAAGCAGCTAAGGAGTGATCATGGCACTGAGTTCCAGAATTCAACTCTTGAATAATTTTGTGATTATAAAGGCATTGGGCAGAACTTTTCAGCTCCTCGCACAACTCAACAAAATGGAGTTGCTGAACGAAGAAATCGAACACTGATTGAGGCAGGAAGGACCTTAATGATTCATGCTGGTCTTCCTATGTGATTTTGGGCTGAAGCTGTTAATACAACATGTTTTACTCAGAATCGATCTCTAATTCACAGGGTTCACAAGAAGACACCATATGAGATGCTGAAAGGTCGAAAGCCGAACGTATCCTTCTTTCACGTGTTTGGATGCATTTGTTATATTCTCAATCAGCATGATCCAAGATCAAAATTTGAGCCTAAGGCTGAAAAAGGTATTTTTGTTGGATACTCGTATATTTCAAAAGCTTTTCGTGTTTTTCATGTGAATAGGAAGTGCATTGAAGAATCCATTCATGTGAAGTTTGATGAGGAATCATACACTGATGAAAAAGTAGCTCATTCTTCCTCTATTTCTCAAGAGCTTCTCTCTTGCCCATATGATGAAGTTTCTCATACTGAAGACGAAGCTACTATTCCTGATCCTATCGTTCCAGATCCAAATTCCTTGAATCAAGATACTGCGGTCAGCTCGACAACTCATTTGTCCGATGCTGATGAAACCCTTGAGAATAAAGATTCTCCTGCAACTGATGTTCCCTTCAGCAATAACACTTCAGTGTCAAATCCAGTGGAATCAGCTTCTGGACATCGAGATCACCCTATTGATCAAATTATTGGGAATCTTCATGATGGTGTCCGAACTAGATATCGTGTATCTAATAATTTTTGCATGTATGTTAATTTCGTTTCAATGATTTTACCTAACAAGATACACTCAACTCTTCAAGATGCTGACTGGATTAAAGCCATGCAAGACGAGCTGAACGAGTTCGAAAGGCACAAGGTTTGGACCCTTGTTCCCAGACCATCAGGAAAGACCATCACCGGAACACGTTGGGTCTACCGCAACAAGGTTGATAAAGATGGTATTATTACTCGCAACAAAGCAAGGCTTGTTGCTCAGGGGTTCACTCAAATTGAATCCATCGACTACGGGGAGACTTTTGCTCCAGTTGCCCGCATTGAAGCAATCAGACTGTTTCTCGCATACGCTTCATACATGAACTTCATTGTCTACCAAATGGATGTCAAAACGGCATTTCTTCATGGTGAGTTACAAGAAGAAGTATTTCTCAAACAGCCCCCAGGCTTTGAAGACAAAGAGCACCCTGACTATGTGTACCGACCAGATAAAGCTGTAAATGGACTGAAGCAAGCTCCCAAGGCATGGTATGAGACACTGACATCATATCTTCTTGAAAATGGCTACAGAAGAGGAGCAATTGACAATACTCTATTCATCAAACAGAAAGGATCAGAAATGATTCTTTTTCAAATCTATGTCGATGACATCATCTTTGGATCTCCAAATGAGAAGCTGAGCAAAGAATTCGCTGAGATCATGTCTCAAAGGTTTGAAATGAGCATGATGGGGAAGATGACTTTCTTCTTAGGCCTTGAGGTTCAACAACAAAAATCAGGTATTTCAATTTTTCAAAGTAAATATATTGTTGACATGCTAGTTAAGTACTCTCTCAGCGACTGCAAACTAGCTTCTACTCCGGTGTCTAAGACTGATAAGCTACACGCTGATCCCACCGGCACTGATATTAATCACTCTCTTTATCGAGGAATGATTGGATCTCTTCTTTACCTCACTGCAAGCCGCCCTGATATCATGTTTGGAACCATTCTCTGTGCTAGATTCCAAGCTAATCCCAAGGAGTCTCATCTCATTGCAGTCAAACGCATCTTTCAATACTTAAAGGCCACACAGAACTTGGCATTGTGGTACCCTCATGACTCAATGCTTGAACTCTTTGGATACACTGATTCCGACTATGCAGGATGCAACTTAGACAAGAAGAGCACGTCAGGTGGATGTCATTTCCTTGGAAATCGACTAATCAGTTGGTCCAGCAAGAAGCAAACCTCAGTAGCTATCTCCACTGCAGAAGCTGAGTATGTTGCAGCTGGGAGATGTTGTGCTCAAATCTTATGGATTCAAAATCAACTTTTAGACTATGGGCTTAAATTCACAAAGACTCCTATATACTGTGATAACACCAGTTCCATTCAGATCACACAGAATCTTGTTCAGCATTCAAAGACAAAGCATATAGAGATCAGACATCACTTCATCAGAGACAATGTTGAGAAGGGCAAGGTTGTTTTAACACATGTCAAGACTTCCGATCAACTAGCTGACATTTTCACCAAGGCCCTGGATACTCAAACTAATGCTCACATCATTGGTGAACTTGGAATGATCACTCTCGATTGAAAAATGTTTTACTAATGTTTGCTATTGTCTTATAAACTAATGTTTTTTTTCTGATGATGATGCGCTGATGATGTTTAACATGCTGAGTACATTGTATGATTTCTTATCTCTATCTCTTCTACAAATCTTCTAAACTAAAGTTGAATGATTCACTGTATTAAACCATACACTGATAACAACTTGCAACTCTTTGCCGATGGTTAGACAAAACACCAAGTTCTATCACACGCAACTATCCTCTCTTACCAATCTTACACTGATTCTGTGATTCAATGTGACAAAACACATGCTGATGAGAATCTAACAGTCTTTGCCGATGGTTAGACCAAAACACCAAGGTCTATCACACACAACTATCCTCTCTTACCAATTTTACACTGATTCTGTGATTCAGTGTGCCAAAACACATGCTAATGAGAATCTAACAGTCTTTGCCGATGGTTAGACCAAAACACCAAGGTCTATCACACGCAACAAACCTGTCTTCACCTTCTTTTCACTTAGTGTCTAATGATTCAGTAAGAAATACCACTCACTGATAAAGACTCGACACTCTGTGTCGATGGTTAGATAATTAAACCAATATTTATCACATGCACCAATCACCTTGCTAACCCTGAACAAGCAAGTTGTACCTTGAATTGACAACAAACTATCTTTCAGCATGTAATTTTTCGAGACACTGATATCAGTGCTTCCGCAGACAGTGATTGTAGTTTCCTCTTCAGCACAATGACTCTTTTTACCCAACGACTATTTTTTTTTGATTTGACAGTCTGTCAAGATATGCAGTTATTTTCGATAACGATAATCATTACCTTTTTTTAACCATTTCATCCCCTATTTAAACCTTTTCACCTTCCTCCAAACTTCTTTCTCTTTTTAAAAAAAAGGGAAAACCCTAGAATCCTAAACTTCTTCAATGGCGGCATCACTATTCACCTTCTCCTCCACTTCTAGAAGAGTCGTCCTAGCTCCAAACTCTCCTCCTCTTCCCATATACATCAAAGCCATAAAACTCGTCTTCAACCCTGATATACCAGATGTTCATCGAGGTCTTGGACTTGATGATTTTGTCAATTTCTTAGTCTCCTGCCGACTTCGATACACAATCAGTGACGTTCCATCAGAGTTCTTTCTCGAACAAGTATGTGAGTTCTACTACACTGCAATGGTTAATGATGAAAACAACGTCATCTCCGGGACTATTGGCCGTGGCAGACACTCGGTCTTTATCACCGCTGACCTCCTCAATGCTGCGCTCAGGTTACCAATCTTTGAACCATTCTGTAAGCTTCCAACTATTGAACGCTGTCGACGCCTCTTTGATCAACTGGGCTATGATCACTCAAAGGCTGGTGCTCGATCAGCTCTCATTCTGCGTCAATGTATGACTCCAGGATGGAAGTTCGACTATTGGCCGTGGCAGACACTCAGTCTTTATCACCGCTGACCTCCTCAATGCTGCGCTCAGGTTACCAATCTTTGAACCATTCTGTAAGCTTCCAACTATTGAACGCTGTCGATGTCTCTTTGATCAACTGGGCTATGATCACTCAAAGGCTGGTGCTCGATCAGCTCTCATTCTGCGTCAATGTATGACTCCAGGATGGAAGTTCTTCACCGGGGCTCTGTGTAAATGTGTGGGTCATAAATCTCGCAGTGGTGATCAACTGAGCACTTATGAGCAACAAGTTGTCTGTTCCCTTCTTCTCAACAAACGTCTTGATTATGGGGCTTTCTTCTTTGATCAGCTTGTCCAACTTCTTCGTGCAAATGTACGCGCTGATCATGTCCCCTTTCCACGCTGGATTGCTCTTGTCCTGGATAAATTTTTCGTTGAAGCCTACTACTCCCACTCTAGAAACCCCATTCAATGCCCACGCATGTTAGTGCGTATGTATCAGGATGATCCAATGGAAACTGATATTGGCATCTCTGATCAAATGAGAGAATGGATCGCAAATCCATATACTGTTCCTTCACTAACCGCTAATACTGATGAAGGAGCTGATGATAACAACGAAGATCATGCTGATCAACAAGATAAAACGTAGGACGATGGTCATATCTCCCCTCAACTTTCTCATCATACTCTTTTTGTCACTGAGAGGGTTCACTCAACTCAAGGGGAGCAACCATCTCACGGGGAGCAACGATCTCAGGTGGAGCACCCATCCCAGGGGGCGCAACCTTCTCCGGGGGAGCAACCTCGCTCACACGAAGTTCCAGGTACTCAATTCCTTCATATATCGGCCTCAGCATTTAATGAGCTTCTTACACTGACTCGGGACATGAGTCAACGTCTTCTACGAATTGAGGCCGATGTCCACCAACTGAAGGGAGTTCTTTTGCCAACTCCTTCCCCTGGCCCACAACATGATGATGATCAAAAAGGGGGAGAAACTGATGATGACAAACAAGGGGGAGAAATTGATGATGATCAAAAGGAGGGAGACATTGAATCTGTTGAGCTCGGATCTGAGGATAACATTTTAAACTAGACCAAGCCACCACAGCCTGTGCACGAGTCTGATAGACCAGCAAATACTGAAAAGTTTGCTGAAAATAGTGAGCATGATGATGAGGATGAATGTCAAATGCTGGACATGAACTTCATTGATCCTCATGTTCTAGTTCAAGAAGAAGCTTCAGATGATAATGAAGATGAACATGATGATGAATGTCAAATGCTAGATATGAAATTCATTGATCCCATTGTGCCAGTTTAAGGAGAAGATTCAGATGTAGCTAGTGAGGATATTCAACCTCTATCTCGCAAGCGCAAGGTAGCAGATACTGAATTGGCTGTTTCACACATTGATACTTCTCTTCCTAGCAAGAAATCTAAGTCCATCGTCAGCATATCCAACTTGGCAACTGAATGGAACATGTCTCCTGATCAAGTTAAGCAAATTCTTGATGAAGCCAATCAAGCTCAGCTTCTAAAGAATATTGCTCAAGCTGATGAATCTCTCATTCAGCATAAACTTCAGGCCAAAGGATCCTTTGAAGCTCAGATGCAAAAGTTCTTAGAATATCATTCCAAATCCAAATCTTCACAGCCTCCTCCTAGTAGAAGCAAGTCAAGGACTAAAAATGTTCTCGACAGGATTGATCGCAAGAGGTTCCAAGATGTTCTTAAACAACGAGTGAGAAATGATAAGATCATCAAAGTTAAAGCTTCTAAACCTTGTAACGAGAAAATTCTTCCTTTGCTGATCACTCGTCAAGGTCCTCAACATCCATACACTGAAGTTGTCAAGAGGGATGAGCTGATCAGATACGGATATTCTGAATGGATGGAATTGCTCGAATTAGCATCCAATCAAACTTCGGCTCTCTCTTCAGAACTGACATGTGCTATCCATTTATTGATCAAGAAAGTTCAGCGTCTAGGTCTTGTTCCTACACCACATCCTCAACAGCAAGACCAAAGTTCCTCAGTTCCAAGAATCAGAAGAACTAGATTTCAAGTTGATAGTGAAGATGTATTGGTTCTGAATTTTGGTGCTGAAGGAATAAACAACTCTCTTCCTATCGGTGTTGAGCCGGTTCAACATAAGTTCATATCTGTTCCTGAACATGGAATGTTTTATCTTGATAAAAACAGAAGAATGTGTTTTCAGCGCACCACAAAAATTCCAAGAGCTCCAACAGCACATCTTGTTGGCTTAAGACAAATGTGCATGAGTCATCAAGATCTATCTGGAGAGTTTCACATACTGATTGCTATGGAGTTACTGAATAGAAGATAGGAGATGCTGGATAGTCCTTACTGGCCTGTGAAAATAGAAGCTGAAGCTGAGTATGAAGAATTTTTATCCAGAGGTGTTCTAGTATAGCTGTTGTTTTGAACATCATCATATTGGGGGAGATTGTAAGGTCGAACCTTATAATATGATGATGTTTGAAACTGATCCTTCAGCATCAACATGTAATCCAGCATCAGCATCAGCGTTAGAATACAAGTTGTTAAGTATATATATCTTTTTAATGTAACAGATTTAGTCTTTATCTTGTTTCCATAGTTATCATTATTAGTTAGCTGGAATATCCCTGATTTGTAGGGATTGTCTATAATAGTTCTATATAGTCTTTTGTACGGGTTTGTGAAGAGGTTGTCTTTCACAACCCTAATAGCCTCTTTGTGTGAACAATAATCTCTTTGTGAGATTATCATGCTTAGTGAAAGTTCTTTGTGATACATCATTGTTCTGTTCTTATTAACAGTCATTGTTGGATAAATCGATTGATCTTAGGTTCTTTCAGAAATATTGGGTTATCACATCATCCCCCCGTTAGAGGGAATTTTATCCTGAAATTTAATGCAAGAAAAACACTTGTGGATTAGGGAAAAAGATGTGGGTACTTGTGTTTCATCTGATCTTCACATTCACAGGTGTATTCAAGTCGTCGCTTTGGATTCCAGCAGACCTTCACGATGGGTATGCGACTTTGTTTTGTTCTTTTAATTTCCCTATCCATGATTTCAATTGGTTCTTTTATAAAGTGAAGACTCTTGTTGATTTCGATTTCATCTAGAGGGACGATGAGGGTCTCATCGGACAAACATTTCTTCAAGTTTGACACATGAAAGGTAGGGTGTACGTTATTGAGTTCCTGCGGTAGACAAAGTTTGTAGGCTACCGGGTCGATCCTCGCAAGGATCTCGAATGGTCCGATATACCTTGGGTTTAGTTTCCCGCATCTTCTGAAACGTGTCAGCCCTTTCCAGGGCGAGACCTTTAATAGCACTCGATCCCAACCTGAAATTCTAAGGGCTTCCGTCTTTTGTCCGCATAACTCTTTTTTCTGTCTCTTGAAGTCTTTAGTCCTTCTGAATTTGTACAATCTTCTCGGTTGTCTCTCTTATGATTTCCGGGCCAGTGAGAGTGTTGTCGGGTACTTGTCCCTTGGCTAGTTGTGTGTCACCTACTTCAGTCCAGCATAGTGGTGATCTGCACTTCCGTTCGTAGAGGGCTTCAAATGGAGCAACTTTAATGCTGGAGTTAGGGGTGTGCAATAAACCGCACAAACCGCATAAACCGCCCGCACCGCACCAAACCGCACCACATAATGCGGTTTTGGACACTCGTGGTGCGGTTTGTAGTTTTCGTAAACCGCACTATGCGGTGCGGTTTATAGTTATCAAACCGCGGTTCAAACCGCACTGCAACATACCATATATATATATATATATATATATAACATGCTAGATGTTTACCACTTTTAATACCCTTACCCTTAATAATGTTTATGAGATTTCGATTGATAAACATGAGTCAAAATGGGAAACCAACAATATAAAAAATATGTGTTTACAGTACCATAAGTTCATATTATAATTTTAAAATATTGTAACATATTTTGATGTTATGCATAAAGAAGATGCTTATACAGACAATTAATCTTTTCTTCATAGAACATAAAGCACCACACACTTATTATCTTTAAAACTAAATTTAATATTTATGTTTATGAAACCGCATAAACCGCACAAAAACCGCAAAACCGCCTGCACAAAACCGCAACGCATAACGTGGTTTATTACCTTTGCGGTGCGGTCTGCGGTTCCCGAAATAACAAACCACATATGCGGTGCGGTTTGCGGTTTTGAGGATAAACCGCACCAAACCGCACCGCAAACACCCCTAGCCTGGAGTGATAGCTATTGTTGTATGAAAATTCGACTAGTGGTAAATGGGTATCCCACAGTTTACCATAATCGATTACACAAGCTCTTAGCATATCTTCCAAGGTTTGTATGGTCCTCTCACTTTGACTGTCGGTTTGTGGGTGGTAAGCAGTACTCATGTCGAGCCTCGTTCCTATAGATTTTTGTAACGATTTGCAGAATCGCGAGGTGAACCTACTATCTCTATCGGAGAGATATTGGTACACCATGTAGTCGCACAATCTCTCAGGTGTAGGTTCGAGCTAGCTTCTCCATCTTGTCGGTTTCTTTTATTGGCAAGAAGTGTGCGGATTTTGTTAATCTATCTACGATTACTCAAATGGTGTCTAGCCCACCTGCTGTCTTGGGTAATTTGGTTATGAAGTCCATCGTTTCTTGAGGTCACCAATATAGTTTCTTGTCGGTTTCTTTCATGTTCGGCCACCAATATAATTTCTTGAGGTCCAGATACATATTGTTCGAACCTGGATGCACAGAGTATCGAGTCTTATGAACCTCGTTCATGACCACGTCTCTGAATCCACCAAACTTCGGTGTCCAGATCCGATCCATGAAGTAACAAACTCTGTCACCTTTGACTTCAAGATTCTTGTCAATTCCTCTTAGGGCTTCACATGCCACGTTTTCTGTTTTCAAGGCTTCCCTCTGAGCTTCCTTGATTTGCGTGGATAGGTGTGAATGGATCGTCATGGTTAAGGATTTCACTCGGCGACCCGAGTATTCCTTTCGACTAAGAGCATCAGCTACTACATTCACTTTTCCTGGGTGATAGCAAATTTCACATTCGTAGTCATTTAGTAGTTCAACCAATCATCTCTACCTCATGTTGAGTTCTTTTTGGTTAAGGATGTGTTGAAGGCTCTTGTGATCGGTGAAGATCGTGCATTTCGTGCCATAAAGATAGTGTCTCCAGATCTTTAGCACGAAAATGACTACTCCTAGTTCAAGATCGTGGGTAGTGTAGTTGACTTCGTGCGTCTTGAGTTGTCTTGAGGCGTAAGCGATGACCTTACCTCGTTGCATTAGTACGCATCCAAGACATTGATTAGGTGCATTACAGTAGACCACGAAGTATTCTGTTCCTTCTGGCAAGGACAATATAGGTGCGATGCATAGTGCTTGCTTTAGTGTTTGGAATACAGCGTCTTGTCTTTCTTCCCAATTGAAAGTAACACCCTTTTGGGTCAGGGTGGTAAGTGGTTTCACATTCTTTGAGAAGTTCTGTATAAACCTACGGTAATAGCCAGCAAGGCCCAAGAATTGTCGAATTTCCGTTGGGGTTCTTGGAGCTGACCAGTTCTCGATTGCTTTGATTTTGGAAGGGTCCACGTGTATTCCATCTTTGCTAACCATGTGACCTAGGAAATCCACCTTCCGAATCCAAAATTCTCACGTGGAGAATTTTGCGTATAGTATCTCTTTTCTTAGCGTTTCCAAGACTTGTCGGAGGAGTTGACTATGATCTTCTTTATTCTTTGAATAAATGAGTATATCTTCTATGAACACGATCACAAATTTGTCCAAGAATGAACGACACACTTGGTTCATTAAGTCCATGAACACCGCCGGTGCGTTTGTTAATCCAAAGGGCATCACTACAAACTCGTAGTGACCATAATGAGTTCGAAAAGCTGTTTTGGGAATATCTCCTTTCAAGACTCGTAGTTGGTGATACCCGGATCTTAAGTCTACCTTTGAGAAATAACTCGCTCCTTAGAGTTGGTTGGACAAGTCGTCAATGCGTGGTAGCGGGTGTCGGTTCTTGATAGTAAGCTTGTTAAGTTCTCGGTAATCAATGCACATGCG